TATGCTACAGAGCACAGCATAAAAAGTGCAAAGAGACTCAGACAAACTTATAAAACAGGTTTTGGGCATTAGACATGTTCAGGTTGTGAATGGTAGAAGAAACAGATGTCAGATAGATACAAATCTAGGTATAGAGTAATACTACAGAGAAGGTATAATCATACTCTGGTAGTGTGAAGAGGAAACAGTTAGGTCTTGAAGAAGTGAATGATATCCACAAAAGACTGGCATTGTCAGAGGGTGAAAGCTGCCGTATAATCCCCATTATCTGCCCCTGCCCCTACAAGTGGCCCCTAGGTCTTTTTCAATTGTCAGGAAATAAGGGCCCCCTGTACAGTGATAAAAATCATAATTTACGTCCCATTCAAGAATTTTTCAATCATATTGAAACTTCACCAAATACAATGGTATGGATTTCAAATTTTGACCTTTACTTAGCACTCGGGGCCATTGAGCAGTGAGGGATCTTTATTGTGCGAATGCCTGCTGTGACATGGGATCTCAGATTTTAAGGTCTCATCTGAAGGACCTGCAACTTTCACTTCAAGTGCGGAGTGCATGGCGAAGGAACAGTTGCTACCAATTTTTATCGACTTAGGTCAGTCACGGCCAAGATTCAAACTCACGACCTCCTGATCAAAAAGTGAACTCTCTACCAACAAAGCTAACGTGAACGGCTTGAAAAATTTGAAAATGAAACTTGGTTTTTGGGTAACGTATAGTAGATAAAGTATCCCTGAAAGTGAAAGATTTTTAGAAAGACCTAATTATTATGTATTTCCAAAAATGAAAGTTACCAGCAAAATTTGTTCTCCTTGTTTATTCTCTGATTTCTTGATGGATAAATGAATTATTTAGCAAAGATAAAATTTTTCAAAAGATTTCATGAAGTTAAAATATAACACTATATATAATAATGACCAAAATAAGCAGCCCCTTTTCACAATTTTCTAAGTGCCTTGGTGGTAAAGAGGGATTATACGGTATGTTTTTTTTATAGGTTTGAGTTTATTAGCTCACCTGAGCCAAAGGCTCAAATGAGCTTTACTCATTATACCGGTATTTTGTCCTGCGTCATCTGTCTGTTTGTAAACTTTTCACATTTTCGACTTCTCAAGAACCACAGGGTCAATTTCCACCAAACTTTCCACAAAGTATTCTTGGGTAAAGGAGATTCATGTTTGTAAAAATTAAGGGCCACACTCTCTTTCAAGGGGAGGTAATTAGGAAGAAGTGAATAAATAATGGCATCTTTAAAAATCTTCTTCTCAAGAACCACTATGCCATGAAAGAGGAAACCTATATGAAAGCATCCTCAGGTAGTGAAGATTCAAGTTTGTTCAAATCATGACCTGGGAGAAGGGTGAGGCCACATTGGATGATTTAAGTTTTTACATAGGAAAATTCCTTAAAACATTTCTACTCAAGAATAGCAAAGCCATGATTGGTCATACTTGTATTTATATGGAAGTATCCTTAGGTTTTGTAGGTTCAAGATTGTTCAAATCATGAGTTCTTGACCCCTGGGGGTGGGATGGGGCCCACAATGGGAGATCAAAGTTTTACATAGAAAAACAGAAAAATATTGTTAAAAATGTTCTTCTCAAGATTAGAAGGGTTATATATAGTCATATTTCTGTGGAAGTATCCTCAGTTTGTGTAGATTCAAGTTTGTTCACACCATGACCCACAGGGGTAGGTGGGACCGCAATGGACGATAAGTTTTACATAGGAATGCATAGAGAAATCTTTTAGAACTATTCCTTCTAAGAACATGAGAGCCATGATTGGGCATATTTATAAACATGGAAACATCCTTAGGTAGTGTAGATTCAAGTTTGTTCAAATGGGTCCACAATATGGGGCATCAAAGTTCTACATTAAAATACATAGGAAATTTTTTTTTCTCAAGAACAGAAAAGCTATGATTAGTCAAACTGATATGGAGGCATTTTCAGATAGTGTAAAATCAAATTGGTTCATATGAGGGCCCTGGGGTCAGGGTGGGGCCACAATCAGGGTCATTTGCAAATGCTGAATAAATAGGACAAATTCTTCTGCTCAAGAACAGCAAAGCATTTGTTATCTTGATATAGTTCAAAATTCAAGCTTCCCTCCCCCTCCCCAACACCCACACACACACTCTGTAAACTTTTCAATACTTAACCGATTTTTGCTTTTTTCCCTAGCCAATCTGCTCAGGTGAGCTATGTGGCCCATAGGCCTCTTGTTTATAAATATTTTGTTTGTTTTGGTATGATAAACAATTTATTGCATGAATTTTTGGAAACAAGATGGTTTATTCAGCCAAGAAAAATCATATTCCTCTCAGTGCAAAGCCCTCTAGGAATGTGCTGATTTTCTTGGCTAAATCACTGGCGGATTTAGAGGGAGACCGGCCTCCCCTCCCCTACTTTTGTGTCCAAAATATACACAATTAAGAAATAATGAATCGTTTTCTTTATGTGGCAGTGGGCCTTTGACCCCCCCCCCCATTTTTTTACTCCATTGTCAAGGTGACTGGGTTTAAATTGCTGGCTCTTGACACAAAATGAATACACATGTGAAACTAAAAGAACATTCATCAACCTTTCAGAAGTTATGGCTAAGTTGGTATTTTCTCTTTTTCAACACTTTCGTTTCCGAGCTATATCTTCGGAAACCTTTGAGCTTTGCAGTGAACTTCCTAATGTTGACCCTGTTTATTTTGAGGTCAACTCGTCAGAGGTCAAGGCTATACATTCATACATTTCCGGGCGATATCTCAGGAAGTTTTGAGCTCTTGCAATGAAATTTTATATAATATCACCCTATGCCCCGACCCTCCCTTCTTAAAGTATCCGCCCTCTTCGACCCCCGCCCCCAATCCATGCCTGTCATCTTAATTTCCTTAAGGATGGGGGGATACTCCTTGAGCGGGGGGTTCAGATTCTCTGAAGAAGCTTGTTAATTTTTGATCGATGAAACTAGAATTAGAATTTAATCTCTTGAATAACGACTGTATCTTATTTCTGCACGTCATTTAAGGCTGGGCAATTTTCGTAGAACATGTAATCCATTTATTGGCTGTTAGACTTAAATATTAACCTCAATGAAATATTTCAATTTATGTAAGAAAAACTAATTATTTTGATATACATGTACTCTGTTTCTCGTTAAACTTTCTTGTAAATTGAATTTTTACATTCACATGCACGTTTTAATCATTTGCATTACAGTTTCATAAAGAAGTATCGCTTTAGTTTTCTTGCCACCATTGAATGCAAGCGTTAACAAGGTTAGACACGACATGGATTTTATTTGTTTTGTGAGAAGATTTATTTTTTAACATTCTACACGAGAAAAAAAATGCTCGACGGTTGCTTAAAATATTTTTGATTTGCGCTGTAAAATTCTTTGCAATAAATCTGTAAATGTAAAATTCTATATTTTGCATGAAATCTGTAAATGTAATTTTTGACAGGAATCAAAATCTTTTCATTTATACCAAATCATAACGAGAATTATTTTGAAATTACCGATGGAATAGGAATAGTAATACTAACTAAATCTGTCTACGTTCGAACATTTTCTATTTAACGAGGCAAGCTTTTGACAAACGTATCGTCACGTTTCTTATATTGCATAGGCGTCGGAACTTGGGGGGGGGGGGGCTAGGTGGGGCTTAACACCCCCCCCCCACTTTTTTTCCAAATATATACTTAGTATAGACATTGAACATTGCTGCGTAGGTTTTCCTTTAGTCCCCCCACTTTCAATTGGCTTCCGACGCCAATGTATTGTATCTTCGACCTATTTTTGCAATCAGCTTCCTGTGCAGATACAGGCTGCAACGCTAAAAAAAAAAAAAACCTTTCAAGCATAACTGTAGTGAATATGTACCCAAAATAATTGATTCAACGGTTTTTCTCGTGGTTTTATTCCGATGTCAGAAATTCTAATCCTTTTTTAGTAATGCACATTTTACCTGTTGATTAAGCGTAATTGCTTTTTCGGTATTTTTTCCCGAAAGAAATTAAAGATCTCTGTCACAAAGACGTGTGGCAGAGTGAAATTTGTAGTTATTTTTATCAATTTATTATGATTATTCAATTTATTATTTTCATTATTTAGAAAAATTATTTGAATCATGAATTTGTTGAATATTAATATATTTAAGCTACTTTAAGTTATTTTCTAAGATAAGTGTATCACTCATGTGAATATTTTTAACTTTTGCACACTGTATCTATATTTAGAGGGAATACCCTTTTCCTTGTTTTTTTATTGGTCAGTGTGGTCAATTGTAAAGAATTTAGTCATGTGATACATTTGGAGGGAAGTTTTCTATTGTGTGTTAAATGTATAGTTCCTGTGCTGCAGTCTTTGTTGTGTCATCCATTTTTTGTCCAGAATTTTATACCTGTTACAGTAATTGGAATCTTTTCTCATTATTAGAATTCTCATGATCAAAGGATGTAGACAGTAGATTACTTATTGTAAGATGACCTTTACACCTCATGTGAGGGTCAATCTGAATCACTCTATCATCTGTCATTTCATCAATGAATCCAAATAAATGGTGTAAACGTTACTGGAGTTAGTCATCCATCCATACTGAATACGAATCGCCCTAAGACCCCGGGTTACAGACGCATGAATATAAAATGATTTGATGGATCTAACGAAATTTTTTTCTTCTTTAATTGAATATGGGCATTTTCTTACAAATTTTCTTTAAGGAATGCAACGTTACGTTATTGTTATTTCATTGAATTCACATCTACTACCGGTGTAGGGCAAAAACCAACAAATAAAAACTTTTTGCATCCAATCTATATGCAGCTTGTTTAATGTTTTTATGAAAGACAAACGATCTTAATTTTATTCTTTGGAATATTCTACAGATATTTACAGCCAATACTGACTGTCTATCATTTCTTTATTTAGGTCAGAATATTTGACAGCGCCACATTTTAATGACAAATATCATTATATTGTTGACTTTTGGCGGGAATCGACAAGCCCGAGGAATTCCGAGTAACACGAGCTTCTCGATATTGAATAAAATCAACGAAGGGAAGCGAAACAGGGTATATACATCTATTCAAAAAGCATGAGACGTAGATAAACAAACAGGACAGCAAGTAAAAGGTAAGTGTTCAAAAGTACACAGAACATGTGTGCTAACTCGTGTTAGTCTACACATACCGCGCGATAGGGTCGATATCGGAGGTGATAATTGTAATTAATGTCGAAACTGCAGATACTTGTGACAGGTTCACATGATAATCTGATGCAGTCAGTACAGTATATCCTGACAACATCGTTGTAAGTGTAATTGGTAAGTATTTCAGTTTATAGAAGGACTGATCGAGACCCGATCGTCCTGACACAGTTGTAGGATATCATGTTTAACACTGATAAATGTCAATATAAAAACTAAATAGGTTTTACTCACTCTTGGAAATTGCATCAATGAAACACTTAAGGTAAATTATTGGCAAAAGATTCAACTCCCCCTCCCCGGTCCCAAAATTTGTGAGAACCCTGCAGTAAACAGGTTGGGCACAACCTACCAAATACATGGTCCTGTATACCCCGTTTAGTAGACAATCTATATACCATATCGGTGACGAATTTTACTGACCATTTAGCAGGTTGGGCACAGTTTCTTTTTTCGGGGAAGTATTACTACTAAAGGGAACTATTACTCTTTTCAGTAATAAAAACATTACTGTATTTGGGAATTTTCACTCGTTTAGCCTGTATTTTCGTGTTTGTTTTGAATAAAAGATAAAGTGCAAGAATATTTTCACATCCTCTAGATATTTATTGTCTATTAAGTGTATGTGTGCTCAAAACTGCAATATTTATTGCTGCAAAAAGCTGAAAAAGAGTGATGAAATATATCTATGATATAGATTTGTTACGGAAGCATACCTGTGTTGAAATTGTGAGATTGAATACGTTCAGCACTTGCTAACTCATTCATGAGATTATTCATTCTAATTTAATTTTATATTATTTCTTTATTCAACAGTGTTTTGAACTTTAGACTAGATAAATTTCTTCAAGAACATAATTTAATTCATCAATCTCAGATGGGTTTTACCAAAAATGCAAGAACATCTGATCATCTATTTGTTCTAAAATGTCTAATTGATAAATACTGTAGCACAAAAGAAGGAAGACTCTATGCATGTTTTGTTGACTTTCATAAAGCTTTTGATAGTGTTATACATACAGGATTAAAGCTAAAATTACTTAACATGAATGTTGGATCAAAATTTTATAATATCATTAGTAATATATTTAAGGAATGACTCTAATTCTTGGCCATATTATCGAGTATAATCTGGTTTGGGTCAGTTTACGCTTTTTTTATAATCGAGTATAATCTGGTTTGGGTCAGTTTACGCTTTTTTAATAATCCGCGAAGCGGATTATAAAAAAAGCGTAAACTGACCCAAACCAGATTATACTCGATAATATGGCCAAGAATTAAAGTCATTCCTTATAATTTAATTTTAAAATAATTAAACAACTTTTGATGTAAAATTGTGTTGCTTTTTATAAGTTCAAATTTACCGCTCAATAATACAACCGTAGTAACGGAAGTGATTTGAAGTGAGGGGAGGTAATGACTGATACATAGATCTAGCAGCCATGATGTTTGTTTACATGAGGTAAGAACGAGTAATTGATTCAAGTTGAAGGTACATTTATTAAATCTGGAATTTTCCATGGATTCCGAGGACTGGAAATGAGGGGATTGCATGGATATGATGATTAAGCTGGTCGTCAAGGGGGTGTGTCCCCATACCAAACCAGATTATACAAAATGTTATGCGTTCCTTTTTGGAAATCAACCAATGAGAGGCGAGAATACAAATAAAATTAAATTATATAAGAATAGTCAAGCATGTGTGAAAATTGGGAGATTCTTCTCGGATCCATTTCAAATAGCTATAGGCGTCCGTCAAGGGGATAATTTGAGCCCCTCCCTATTTAAAATATTTATCAACGACTTTCCATCATATTTAGATTCATGTATTGATGAAGTATCGCTTCAGACACAAACTGTTAATTGTTTAATGTATGCAGATGACATTGTTATTTTATCCTCATCAGCTAAAGGTATACAAGTAAGACTCGCTAAACTTGAAAAGTATTGCTCTGATTGGTGTTTAAAGGTAAACATTCAAAAAACAAAAGTCACGATCTTTAATAAGGCTGGTCGTAATATTACACAAAAACTAATGTTTGAAAATAATATGATAGAATGTGTGCCTATCTACAAATATCTTGGAGTCCACCTAAGTGTATCTGGAAGCTTTCATGTAGCAAGATTAGAGCTTTATAAAAAAGCATTAAAAGCATATTATAAGTTAAGAAAGGATTTTATTGATTTGAACCCTGGGATTAAAACCAGTATACATGTATTTGACTCTACCATTAAACCAATTCTTTTGTATAATGCAGAGGTGTGGGGTGCAAGTAATATAAATGCTAAAAAATTCCTAAACTGCCAAAATTTAACAGTTGAAGACTCTTAGACTGCTTTAAAAATCTACCCTGTGAAAGAATACACCTTAAATTCTGTAAATATATTCTCGGCGTTCATAAGAAAAGCACAAAATTTGCAGTCCTATCTGAATTGGGAAGGTTCCCCCTGCATTATGATATTGTCAGGTTGTTGATTAAAAGTTGGTATAGATTTGAAAATTTGTCCATAGAATTTCCTTTACTTAAAGATGCATATGAATGTAGTAAAAAGCTTTTTATGAATGGAAAGAACTCATGGTTTGCTTTTATACAGAAATTAAGAAAATTACTGAATATTAAAGATGAAGTTATTTGTTATGGGAAATATAAATTTAAGTCATTTTGTCATAAAATTTTATTAGATTATTATGTGAAGAAATGGTATACAAGTCATAAAAGTTATACTGATGGCAAATTATCCACATATGTGAAACTCAAACAAAATTGGGGTTATGAGAATTATTTATCAGTTGTTAAAAATTTTCATCACAGAAAATCTCTATGTATAAAGTTGTCACAGATTACAAATTGAAGTGGGAAGATTTACCAATATTCCTCGAGAAGATCGATTGTGTAATAGATGTAATTCTAACAACATAGATGATGAAACTCATTTTTTAATAACATGCAAAAAATTTGATCATCAAAGAAAAGAAATATTTCAGTTAATTAATCATAAATTTTCACTATTTTCAGCTTTAGATGATGAACAAAAACTTTATTGGTTACTCAATACAGAAGATAAGGAAACTCTTAATTTTGTGGGCAAATTTATAAATGATAACATGTTATAGTAGCATTAGTCTTTTACACATACATGCATATTTGATGTATTCCTTTTAGACAGGATTACTGTTAAAATGATTTATGTCAATTACTAATTGTATAATTGTTTTGCTATTCATTGGCTTATCTTTTCCTTATTATTATAACAATCTCATATTTGTCTGTTATGGGCTCTAAATTAGAAATAAAATGTTCTGTTCTGTTAAATGACATTGTAAAATAATTTTAAATTCCATTGCTACTTTTACCGATGAAAATAATTATTTGAAATATTTAATTTCAAACGATATTCTTTTAAAATGGTTTAAGAATGAATGTCCTTATTAGATTCCATACTTTTAGTACCATTCATCAACAGGGAAAATGATTAAATCTCATCTTACTCTTGTCTGCAGCACTGAAGGACCAAATCTTTTGGTCAGCGAGGTTTGTTTAATAAAGATTAAACACATCACATCATATTTTTTATGCACTTTTCATGTAACAAATGGATTTGAGGCATAATTAAAAAAATGTGACAAAAATTACCGAATTGAGTAATATGTTTTTATAACTGATAAGAGTAACAGTTCCCTTTTACAGTAATACTTCCCCGAAAAAGGAACTTTGCCCAACCTGTTTAGGGGACAATATTGGTTGTGTTTAATTCCAGGGAGTGTAGTGAAATTGCGCATAATTTTAAACCATGTGGAATAAAATATAGATATTTATCGGTGTTCTGGGTAAAAAAAATCAGAAATTCTATGTGCAATTTTTTGCGCAGAGTCGTTCAAAAATTTGACAAAAACGTAGCTTATGTAAACAAATGCAATATTTTTACTTTAAATGAAAATTCTCTTCTTTTCCAAGGATGCTGTACCTGTCAATCATGTCCTTTGCTTTCTATTTCGATTATCCGGGCAATCAATCAATTAGTGCAAACCAATCAAAATGATGATCTTTTTTAAACCTGATGAAAAGTCGGATTTAACTACAGAGGCACATTTGTGTTAATTTTCAATTAGGAAATCAGAAGAAAAATAAGTTTTCGCCTTTATTTCGTTTTATTTTGAACACAATGGCTTTGTTCTTCATATAAATAGTAAATGCAGTTGGAGTATGATACAATTATTGTTTTAAAACGATGTACTTGGAACAAAAACAAGAATAATGGCAAAAGTCATTTTGGACATCTTTTATTGAATATTATTTTTCAAATTCATTAAATTGACCAGTAATATGCATATTAAACCCCAAAAGGTTGCAAGGAATCAGCAACTTCATCCTAAAAGAAAAATGACAACACATATTACGTTCAACTATGGAAAAATGTAACTTTATAGAAGTAAGTGCCCACCATAACGGTAAGGCATGAGGAGCTCGTGTCTAACAGGATTTTACGGAGATAAACATTGATGAGGATCCAAAAAGAGATGGAAAGTTAACTCATCAAGAGATTTTTAAAAATCACTAGATAAAATTGAATTTTTAACCAACAAGACACAACAAAGATTTTTTTTGATCAATTAATCAAGAAGTTCGGCTGTTACAGACAACTATGGGTATTGTTTTTACGAAGTTACGGAGAAATTGCACATAGAAACTCAACCGATTTATGTTGTGTGAGGAATATGTTCACTAAAATCCCCCAATGCCTAAATAAATGCACTTTTGTTATATTTTAATAAAAATTGCAATTGAATAAAAAAGTCCCCCATTTGGTTAGTAAATTTCGTCACCGATATGGTAGATTGTCTACCAAATGGGGGATAAAGACCATTTGGTAGGTTGAGCCCAACCAGGTAAAAGAATTCATTTGTGCATAATTGCTTGCCATCTGT